AATGAGTCCCTGCTTAGTTTGCCGAGAGAGAAAGAGAGAGAAAGACACAGAGAGAGAGACAGAGAGAGAGAGAGCTTAAGAGTAAGACAAAACAAACTCTGAATCTCTAATGGATACTCCGTACAATCAGATATTGTAAGAGAAAGAGAGAAAGTAGGTAAGAGAGAAAGTAAGAAGATGAAATAATTACAGTTCTACCTAAAAAAAAAACAGAGGAAAGAGTCAGTAGATGGAGTAAAAAACCTTTACTCCTTTAGTCATTCCTCACAGCGCTGTCCTAAACTCTCTTTAAAACTCTACTATATACAGTTAACTGAATTTAGATGTTACAGAACCTGGTTTCACTGCTTTCACTGCTTTCTTTCAGGTAAAGTGGGACAGTTGGTTTGCAAATATATAGTACTGTGCAAAATTTAAATATCGCCCTTCATTTCTTTAATTTCCAGTCAAAACAGGCAGTACCTGTACATCAGTACAAGTTATTCATTTTTGGGTGTCAGAAAAATACAGCAAACATATTTAAAAGGAAAATACACTGAAGCTTCAACAACTACATCCAAAAACTGCTTAAAATGACCGAAAGATACAAAGAAAATGTGACTCTCAACAACTGTGGAAGACTTAGCACTGGTAGACCTCAAAATCGCTGTAGAAAAAAAGGAACTTTAATAAAGACAAAGGCTGAACACAGGAAACACTAAAATAAGTAAATATTATACATTTAGGCTTCTGTGTAGATTTCAGTCGACTTAATGTCTTCTGCATTTTTCCTCCTGCTAAAACATGAATATCTTCTACTTAACAGCCATTTCTGAGTGGAAATTAAAAGAAATGAAAGGTGGTCTCTGACTTTTGCACAGTACTGTATTGCCAGTCCATCTGGGAGATTTTATGGCAACTCACACACAGAGATAAAAGTCACCCACAGTGAGTTAGCACACACACTGCAGTGTCCATTAGGGCGGTGGATAGAGTGTACGAGTCCCGCGGCTGTTTGAGAGGAATGGGGTTAGACAGTGGAGGTGAGAGATGGACAAGCAATCTAAAGCCTGTCACTCTGCTTTATACAGCTCCAGACACATAATGCTCTCTAAATACACTCAGTCTGCTCACCTATAGCTGCCTCTACAGCACATCTGCACTGTTAACACTAACACACTCACTGTGCCAAACCGCCACAGCGAGTGGAGCAGTGCTAAAGGCATCAACCTTTTCCGCTAACTCATTAATTTACTGCACTGAAATTAGGTTCCATTACATCATTTCTTACAAAGAGAGAGACACAAAGGAAGGGAAGAGGGGTGATCCACTGCTTTTATTAACAATAAATAGATAGGGACTAAGAAAAAACAGTAAAATTAATAAAAAGAGCTATAATGAATGTGCACTACATCACTGGACTTCCTAGTTGTGGTACTGAATGGCTCTGTGTGCATGTGTCTGATAAAGACATAAATGCAGTGAAATGCATTGATGGCACCCTAGTAGAATAATTAAGAGTGATGCATGACTTTTTCTGAGCACATTTTTTGAGTTGACTCTGACTCTTAATTTCTGCCCCTGGAGGAATTCACTTAATTTAAGTGAATTCCACTTAAATTCCACTTAAAATAAGTTCACATGATTTAAAAAGACATCAGCAGAGCCTTTAATAAAGGTATACAGCAGAAATGAAACTATCCTGAACACAGTTTACCCACTTTTTGGAGTCGCTACAGGCAGGGATGGACAGGCCATTGAGAAGACCAGACAATTCCCAATGAGCCACTATGTGTCTGGGAGAGTGAGAAAGAGAAGCTGCATTAAAGTTTTCGTTTGGGATAATAGTGACCCACTGCAACTTCAGTTCAATCATGTGAAAGCTGACTTTTTTTTACTAAAAAATAAATATTTACTAAACACAACATATGCTGGTTTTGCTGATGACTTGCATATTAACTTCCATTGCTGATGACCAGCAAGCCAAAAGCCTAAACACAACATATGTAGGTTTTCCTGGTGACCAGCCATGAGAAATGTACCCTTCCCCCATTTCTACTTTATTTTGAAATCATTTAAGATGTCTATTATTTACATTATAATTCCATATGTGAGATTTACAAATTAAGTTGCCAAGGATGTATCAAGTTGTTTAGGTCAAACAAACAGATTACGGTGAGCAATCTGCTTTTCATTTGTAACAGAGCGGAGTCTTTACGCGCTAGCATGCTGGCAATATAACAAGATCCGTCGACTTAAAGAAGAAAGAAAAACAGGAAAGATAACCAGCATTAACCAGTCAAAGATGCAAATTTGAGGTTGTATTCTTCTGGGACTGTCTTAAAGAGGCACTGCTAGCTGCATCTCCAGAAAGTTGCATAAAGCTTTGTGGCTAACTGCTAGCTAGCTAGTTTGAGAACTGCCAAGCTAACTTAGTGACGTATTACTGCCAGCAGTGTTCTAATATTCAAAGTAATTTTCACTGGTAACTGCTGTGGAGAGTTCTTTCAGTGGGGAATAAAATGCTGATTAGAAAACTGTGAAGTGGCCCTAATATGCGATCTAACATTGCATAGAGTCAAACATACTGAGTAGCTCATATGTTACATGTTTCTTGAGGACAGAAGACGATTACGTTAGAGAGTATTTTGCCAGTAACCACATAATGGCTCAGAGTCTGAAAGGGGATGCGACTGAGCCCTATGCTATCTGATGATCGCAGAGCTAACAAAAGTGGTTTGATTCACGGTCTGAGGTTGAAATGTTTTGCGTGTGTCAACTGCATATACTGAACTGTAATAAAATCTGCAGAATTACACATATAGTTTGTTACACATATAGTTTGTTCTATTTATATAGAAACAAATTAATAACAAATGGCTGTCTAATTACAATATAAGACAATGTAAGTTATTATTCAGTTAATCAACTACGTCCCTTTTTTATGGTACAATTGAAACAATAGATGACATATTGCCTTCAGTGGTTCCTTTAATATACTGTTATCTGTTGGAATGGTCGTGTGCGTCACGTCTTTAACCAGGTTTTCACCCAGCTGTCAAATTAAGCACTTAAAATACATCCTGATTAAGTCCTAAAGCCCATTTCACACCAGATGCCATAACTGTGCAACATGCAGTCCACTACTTAATATATCAAAGTAGCCTTCCACACCTGCTGTTTCCTTCAGCTCTGTACAAAAGAGCTTTCCACCTCACCTTCGTAAATTCACTTCAGAGAAATATGAAAGGAGTTTCCACACAAACCTTTAATGTTGAGCAACTTCTAGTTGCTTTTTATTTAATGTCATGGCTGTGTTTCACATCTCAAAGCCATGGAGACCAATTATCTGTCCATCGACAAAAAGATAACCACCGAGTGAGTGTACAAACCATGAGAGTTCAGTATTTTGCCAGTACTATTAACTATTTTTTCAATTTGATGTGTCAAAATACTCATAAAAATATGTGGATGACAACCTCTTTGTCACAACAAAACCTCTCAACTCCTTTTTCCTTCTCCATTACAAATACCAGTCCAGACACAATTCTGTTACAAGAGCAATCATCACCATACGAACAAGGTACAACACTGCACAGAGCTTTTTTTTTTAGAAAAGTACAAAAAAAGCCATATCAAACTTTTTTTATCTAATTGTTGCAGCCCTACTTACATTTCTAACTTCAGGACTGACTCAAATAGATCTACTAGAACTATTACAAGTAGTTCCCCAGAGAAAGAAAGTACAGTCAATAGTCTCTTGACTGACGCTTTACATCCCTATAGAAGTCTTTGGGACAGTATTCATGTCTCTCCCCAGTAATAAGCCTTTCACCCCCTTTTGTGCTAGAACCTGTTTTACCTGTGTTTGAGCCGGACACAATGGCTCTTCATTCTCTATGATCCTCGCCGCCCGTTTCACAGCCAACAAAAAGCAGACGGAGGGGGATTTAATTTGAAATCCCAGGGACTGTGGCAGGCCCATTCGAAAAGCCACTGAACGGAAGCTTTGAGCAGGCTGGAGAAAAGGAATGGGTGAGGTGAAAAATGGCAGAATCTACAGTGAGCCTGTTTCTTTAATAAGGCCATTAAGAGGCTACAGAGCTCAGCACTCAGTGGTTATTGAAATTGTTTCAGTGATTAAAAAAAAGCGGAGGAGTGACGAAGAGGTTATCTGTGTGTAGTGTGGGGGGGGTTTCTCTCTCTCTCTCTCTCTCTCTCTCTCTCTCACTCTCTCTCTGTTATCTGATATCAAGTGTTTTTAGGGCTGGGAGTAAACATACAGTCAGTTTGCACCAGGGAACTTTTCACTTCTACTGTGTAATGGGCGCATATGGACTATTATGTTATGGTCTGTTTAAATCCATTGCATCAGCTGAGATAGTGTTAAACTAAATATACACAAAATTATTATTTAAAGGCTACTTTCTGTTGTGAGGGTCTGTCCCAACTCCTTATAAATTTAAACTTGTGAGAATTTTTTGAAAAATGTCTCAATGTTTTTAAATAAAATATTTTTTTAAACTAAAACTGGAAGACTTTGTTCTACAATGAGTTTAATTTTTAAATAAAACAAAATTTAAAAAATGCTGTCCCATGTTTTCACGTCACTACCAAAACACAAAAAGTTTTAGTCAATAAGTGGAACTTTATTTTAGCCACACCCTTGCAGTTTAGAGCAGGAAGTGAAACCTGGAAGGGATCCTTGTCCCTCATGGCTGCATGGTGAGCAGTTAGATATCATTGTTTTGAAGTAAATGTGTCCAAAAATCTGAAAGTCAGTGTAAACCCTTAAGAATTTAATAATTATTTTGTGTTTTAATGAAAATTATCATGATTTTGTGTGTACAACTCATACATTCAGTTAAAAGTCTGAAATGTGTTTTGAATTCTGAACCAGTTTGAACCAATTTGGTAAAATTATCCACATAGTATGTCACACATCATCTCCTTCAATGTGTGTATGTGTCTCTGTATGTGTGTGTGTGTGTGTGTGTGTGTGTGTATGTGTGTATACTTACACTCCTCCTCTTTGGGGTCGAGCTGTGTCACGCTGATAGAGAGGCGATCCACTCGCTCCTGGAGGGAGTTGACTCGAAAGGAAAAGGAATGTGCTTCATTAAAGAGTTCCCCAAACAAGTCCTCTGCATATTTACCTAATGAGAGAGAACACACACATGCACACACATCAGTGAGTGGGTATTATCAAGGACAAGACCACACTCACAAACAATGCAGTATCTGTAACTCTCATTTCCCCCACATTCACACTTTTTTGCACTTTATTTGTTTCCACATAGAAGAAGCCTTTAAAAAAAGACCAATTCACGGTTCATTAGTCTGCAGCTTAAATGTTTCATGGGTAAACAAAGCATTGTCTCTTCCAAAAGGCTGAAATGGAGCAGTAGCTTGCCATTTATTTTTTGCCTTAGGAAGGAGATGTGCAGTCTGCAGTCCACACACTGCACTGTGAATGACTGCTAAAAATTAGGACAGTTGGTACTTAGATTCTAAATTACTCATTAGGGTCTGATATAATTTAATATGGCCATGAATTAAACAGACTCCAGTAGTTGTAGTTGAACAGTGAGTTCTTCACTGACTGATACCGACTGACTGAACTGGGAACACATTACATTAATCATGTTGTCAAATTTCTAAAACTCACAAATGTCTTAAATAATATAAGCCGATGAGCCAAAACATTATCACCACTCAAAGATGAAGTAAATAATGCTGATCATCTCATAACAATGGCACATGCAAAGGTCTGACAGTGAGCGAACCACTGGTTCTCATAGTCGACATGTAGAAGGAAGAAATGGTCCACTTCTGGTCCAAACCAACAGAAGGGCTACTGTGACACAAGTCACGCAATTTTTTTAATGTTGATAAAATCTGTCACAACACACAGTGCATCACGCCCTGCTATTCAAGCATCTGAGGGATATGCAAGTCTGATCTGCAAGTCTGGCTCCACCTCTCAACTTAGAATTAAAAGGATCTGCTGCTAACGTCTTGGTGCCAGATACCACAGGGCGCCCTCAGAAGTCTTGCCGAGTCCATGCCTCAGTGGGTCGAAGCTGTTTTGGTGGCACACAGAGGACCAACATCATATTAGGCAGGTGGTCATAAGCTTCTGGCTCATTGGTATAAATATAAAACCCGCCACTCATAAATTGCCTTATAAAGTAACCATAACACATTCGTTTTTTTGATTGCATGTCATTTTCATGCTTTTGTTCACAATCAAATGTGGATTTTCTATTGCTCTGTTAAAAAATCAGTAGTCTCATGTGACCAAAAGACTAAATGTGCTAAGCTTTTTTGGATGCAGTGCATGGTAAAACACAAGATATGCTTCTCCTCGTTCATATGCATTTGAAGGAGAACTGAGCAAAACATGAGAAGATCACACTAAAAGTAGGTGGAGATTCACTCTATACATCCGCTCATGGAACTCATGATGGCTGGTTTTGCACCAATTTTCCTCCTCCTTTTAACATGAGGTGCACATCTGTCTAAGGGTCTCACAAAACATGTTTAACACTAGCAGCCTCTTTTAAACCCTGCCCCTCGTGAGCGTACAGTTAGTAGACATTCTTGTGCATAGTTAGCGTGATAAGCCACAGTCTTAGTAAACTGAAGGTTAATTTCAAATGCATTGTGAACGCATACTGCAGGTGCATCAAGATACATTTTCTGTTTCTATATTTAAACCTCAATTTCAAAAAAGTTAGGACAGTATGTGAAATGCTAATAAAAACAGAAAGCAGGGATTAGTAAGCTATGTTTGACCTGTATTTAATTAAATTTAAACTCCAAAAACACAATATTCAATGTTGTACCTTATGTGCTGTATTGTTTTCTTTGTAAATAAACTGTTAATAATTAAAATAAATTAAAATCGCTTTCCTTTCAACAACACTACAACACTTAATAATTATTTGGACACTCAAGGCCAACAACACTACAACACTTAATAATTATTTGGACACTGAAGGCCAACAACACTACAACACTTAATGATTATTTGGACACTTTCACTGTGTATAGTACAGTCTTAACTTGCGTTTGTGGAAGCAGCAGCAAAGTGTGTTAACTGACCATTTTTTCAGTATTTCCAAGCTCACATGGGGATTTCTTTACACATGCATGACAGTTTTTAGTGCAGTTGGATGAATCAAAGGTCACAGGCATTCAATTGCAGCCTTTGGCCTTGCCCTTTATGCATGGAGATTTCTCTGGGTGCCCTGAGTCTTTTAATGATGTTACGCATTGTACAGGGTGAAACAGCTAGAGTCTTAGCTATTGCTTGTTGAAGAACGTTGTTCTTAAACTGTTGGATTATTCTGTGATGCAATTTTGGCAAAGTGGAAAGCCTCGACTCATCCTTACTCATAAAGGACTAGACTTTCTTGGACGTCCCTTCATACACAAGCATGATTATATGTGTAAGATGTTTTTTTCCTAGTCTTTAACTGCCCCTGTTCTAACTTTTTTGGAGTGTGTTGCAGGGATCAATTTTACAAATCACTATTTTCTGTTTAAATTGCATTTCACATATGTTCCCAAAGTTTTTGGAATCCGTGTTTGTTCTTAGCCAAAACCCCTCACAATTGACTTGTGCACACCCACAAAAATCACTTGGCTCAAAAGTTACGTATTATAATACAACAGATAATACATCAGACATTACTGATGCTGGTGGAATTTCTGGTGATACAGAAAGATTCATGGAACTGTTATATCTGATTTGATCAGGCCCTACTACAGATGGCAGCCATCAGTGTCACATACACCCATACACACACACACACACACACACACAAACCCACTCACTGAGGCTGCTGAGCTGGCGTATGACGTTGGCGAGTGAGATGTTGGTGACACACTCCAGCTCGTTCTTGATGCCGCGGGGCAGCACTGTGTGGCACAGGTGCCGAGGCTCGATACTCCTCTTCACCAGCGGCATCCTGACCTAACACTGCTAATACCTGCAGACAGAGACAGAAAGAGAGAGAGAGAGGGAGAAAGATAGAGAGTTAAATAACAAAATAACTAACAAATAGACCATTAACCCCTTTGGGATCTGAACATGGGCCTACACCTTCCGGTCATATCTACATAGCTTACATAATAAGCTTCATAATAATTTCCAAATAATTCAGAGCAGCTGCTGAATAATATATCTAAAGATCAGAAATGGCACTGGTCAAATATAATACTGGCATCAGGCCGATATCACCAGGAAAAATCTGGACTGGATATAACAGAGAAGAAAGAATGAACGTGATCCACACGTAGCCTGAAAGCATGATATTTTAGATGCTTCACAAGAAACTTGACCTGTATCTCTCAGCATGCCCCATTTTTACAGCAATCTATTGTGCTTAAGGAATACGGTAGATTACTGTCGTATGTTATTCTGTAAATATACGGTAATTGTTTACAGTGTAAAAAAAGCCTGCAGTTGAAGGGGGATTAAAAATAAGGTTATATCCATGTGTTTATTTTAAACAGAGTTTTCAAGAACAGAAGGAAGTTGATTAGAGTGAGTGTGTGAAAGAGAGAGATACTGACATTGACATCTCCACACCTCCCACTTAAACAAACGTTTTTGAATCTCTAAAACACCAGAATCTACACTAATACATCTAATACATCACTCTGAACATTATTCTCAAATATCTCCACATCATTAAACAGTTTTCACTGAAACAGAGGCAGGGGGAGAGTGAAAGAGAGAGAGAAGAAAGAGAGAGAGTCAGAGAAAGAGAGAGAAAGAGGGAGAAAAGAGAGAAAGAGAAAGCAAGAAAGAAAACAAAAGAGAGACGAGACACAACAATACTGTACTTGACATACTCAGAAATACTAGTCATACTTGAACCAGAGATAGAGATATTCTCTTCTAAACTCAGGTACAGGTATTGGGTGGGTAGTGGTGGTCTGCTGAGGCAGTACAGATATAAACACATTAAATGTGAAATATTTAGTAATTCAGACTTTTTCAGAGCAAAGCCACAGATAAGAGACACAGCACACTAAATCTGAATAATCTAGCTCAATTCTGATTTAGCCTATCTACTGCTATTTAACACACACATACATCAGTCTGAGCTCTGACAGTAAGTGTGTGTGTGTGTTGTGTCTCTGCAGTGATATAAATAGGCTCTGTATGGCTACAAGAAGGTAGTTTGTCATGTCTAGCATGCTACATTGTGGTAAATTAAAATTCAGTCAGCTCCTGATAAATTCTGACAGCTTTGGCGGACTGTGTTTTACGTGCATCATAGATTACACGCGATCATATATGCTAATCTAAAAACCTGTGATGCGTTACGTCTGATATAAAGCTGAATGGGGGGGCTGGTTCTTCATGGTTAGTGGTTTATGGTTAGTGTAATAATCTTTCTCACTCATTTTAAATGACATCCATAATGACATCACACTGAATCAGGATCATCACGTGACACAAAATTAGAGAAAAAAATCAGGTTCCAAGATGGCTGCTACTACTGTTATTAGCTATGCAATATACTTTTTATAGACCAGAAACCACGCAAGACAGACTATATGAGATTTTTAAACAACCCACTGTGGTTGAAGAATGTAGTGTAGTTTATACAGTTGTGGTAGTTTGGTGAGGTAAAAACAGTCAAAACAAAAATGTTTGTTACATGAGCCTCATAGTTTCAGTGCACACCTAAAGAAGCACACTTCACACCTCAATGTCTCTCCAGAAATTTAGGGCAATTTTTTTTTTTTACAAGTTTTCCTATTCAGATATTTGCACTTTCAAACATACTTAAAAACATACAGTAGGCTCCCGAGTGGCGCAACCGTCTAAGCGTTGGCCCTATCATCAGGAGATCGCAAGTTCGATCCCTGGTGATGCTACAGCCATCCGTAGGCGGGAGTCCAAGAGAACACAATTGGCCTCGCTCTGTCTGGGTGGGTGGGTGGGCGCAGCTAGTCAGCGCAGGCGTCTGTTAGCTGACGTAACAGATCTGGCGGTTGGCGCTTTCCTCCGAGCGCGTTCGGCTGTCCAGTGACATTGTGTGAGCGGCAGCTCGAAAAGAAGCAGTGGCTGGTTTCACAGGTCTCGGAGGAAGCCTGTGTTAGCCTTCACCCTCCTAGCGCTGATGGCATCGTGTGATTGGGAGTCCTAACTAGCGGGTGGAATTGGAGACGACTAAATTGGGGAGAAAAATCGGGTAAAAATTAAAAAAAAAAAAACATACAGTACACAAACATCACAGCCACAAACTATTTAATATTGTTCTGATCAAAAAATGACAACAGAAGGTGTAATATCTGTTTATGTGCAGCTACATTAAAAGGTAATCCATACCTAGGCTGTTTATGAAAGTTCAGCTGACGATTAATTACCACATAAATAATTTCTATATACAATTTTTTGTTGCATGTGTTGTATGTAGCTATTAAAGTATAAACCTAACGCAGTGAAAGTGGCTGATTAGCTATCTTGCGTTCTAGCTGTTGATACTTAGTAGCTCCAAACTGTACACGGAAACAGCTTTTGGCCCTCTAAATGTAGTTAAAAGCTAGAGTTTTCATACTTTTTGCAAGACCAATGATGAGTCTAAATAAATGTGTTTTCTGCTTTATTGCAACATAAACATACATCTGTGAAATCTACACTACATGGTCAAAAGCATGTGGACAAACTCAGACCAACAATGGCAGTTGGATGGGTCATACTGAAGAGATTGTATTGAAGAAGCAGCAGACCACACAATGTGACCTCACTAATGCTCTTGTGGCTGAATGCAATCAAATCCTCGCAGACAATGTTCCAACATCTAGCGTAAAGCCTTCCCAGAAAAGTAGAGTCTCTCCCTTGATTTCAGAAGAAACGCTGGATGAGCAGGTGTTAAACTTTGGACAGATAATGTACAATTAATCTTTCAGCCTAGCTCAGTGAACCTCCACATAATGTAAAGGCTCTGTACAAAAAGGTGTTGTTTTCTTACTGCCATACATTCAGGATACGCATTCAGAAGCCTTTGGTTTTAAAGAGTGTAGAAGTTGCCATTTTGCTTAACCTGAGACACAATTTAAGCTGCTAATGTCACGATATTCTCTGCAGTTCTATGGCAAATGCTCAGTCAAGAACATACGCCTTATCCAAACAACAGATTAGGTATTCATTTTATACATTTGAATATTCATATATTTCCATGACCATGCTCACTTCTAGCACCCGCTAATAATCCCCCTCCCTTAAACTCTCCTCCACTCATGCAGACGATAGTGTGTTATGACCTTCCTACTACTGACTGGTTGCCACGGTGCCAGAGGTCAACCTCCACGTGCCTAACCACACATATCAGAATCCAAGACAGCTCTCTACACAGCCTATGTTGGCATGTGTCGATCGTTCCTCTCAAAATGTGTTAATGTGGGCAGGATGACTAATCTATCACACTCACACACACACACACACACACACACACACACACACTCTCTCTCTCTCTCTCTCTCTCTCTCCACACTCCTCACACATCCTCCTTTCCTACTCTCTTATTTCCCTCCTCCTCTCCTTTCCTCCTTTGCTCCCTCTCTACTACGCCTTCACTAAAGAACATATGGATCCTTTACTGTTGCTCCCTCCCACACGGTGCCCTGTCATGCGTTTTAGCTTTTTTTCATTGAGAATGACGCACAGAGTGCTTTTAAAACAGCAGAGGGACGGAACCCGTCTAAAACAAACCCTGTCAGAGAACGAGAGAGCTGCACTTTCCACTATAGTTGTACAGACAGAGAGAGAGAGAGAGAGAGAGAGAGAGAGAGAGAGAGAGAGAGAGAGAGAGCAAAGGAAAAGTAGGGGGGAGAGTGAAGGAAAGAGCAATATGCAGAGAAAACAAAGACAGGGGGGGAGAGAAGGAAAGAGAAAGATACAGAGAAAGGAGAGAGAGACAGATCAAAAAGAGAGAGAGCAAGAGAAAGAGACAGAAATATACAGGAGGAATACAGAGAGAGAGAGAGAGGGTGGCAGAGGTATCAAAAGAGAAAAAGAGAGAGATACAGAGAGAGAAAAGGAAAGATAGAGAAACAGAGACAGGTACAGGACAGAGATAGCAAGAGAGAAAGATAGAGGGAGAGATACAGAAGAGAGATAGAAAAAGAAAGAGACAGAATGGGAAAAGGTGATGCAGAGGGAGAGTGAGAGAAAAGAGCGAAAAGAAAGAGGGAAAGAGTGATACAGAGAGGAGAGAGATAGATTGAAAAAAGAGAGAGCAAGAGACAGAGACATAAATGTACAGGAGTAATACAGAGAGAGAGAGAGAGAGAGAGAGAGGGTGGGAGAGGCATAGAAGAGGGAATTAAGCGAGATACAGTGAGAGAAAAAGAAAGAGAGAGAAACAGAGACAGGTACAGGAGAGAGATAGCAAGAGAGAAAGATAGATGGAGAGATACAGAAGAGAGACAGAAAAAGAGAGAGAGAGAGAGAGCGAGAGACAGGGAGAAGGAGATGCAGAAGGAAAGAGAGGTAAAGAGGGGCTTAGCAGCATTGGAGTAGGAGTAATGATGTAGAAGGCGAGGTGGGGTGCAGTGGTGCTTATCCTGCAGCGGCTGGTTTGGGGCAGTGGGGGGAAGACTTAGTGGGTCCTCGGAGGAGAGGCAGGTTAATCCAGGCCTGTTAATTCCACTTCCTGTCAGAGGCTCCAAGACTTAACAAATCCCACCGATCCCCCCGCTACAGCAGTGCACACCATATCCCTGATCAATGAGGAGCTTAGCCATAGCACTACCGCTCTACACGCAAACACAAGTAATAGGGGTGTAAACCTCTGACCTCACAACGATTCAATTTGATTATGATTCTTTAGAAAATGATTCACTGCATGAAGAAACCTTAGAATTCATCACTATATGGTAGATTTTGATGCAATTGAGAAATATTTAATCACAGTGTATCATATCGCAGTGGGCCAGTATATCATGGCTAGTTGCTACAGCATTAGGTTCA